TTAGCAGTTTGTTTTCAGGCACTGCGCTCACTCCTCCCCATTCCTGCTCCTGACTGTGTTGTCTGCGGACAGACGGCAGGACAGAGCTGTTCTTTTGATTTTTAGTTATTTTTTAGCAGTTTGTTTTCAGGCACTGCGCTCACTCCTCCCCATTCCTGCTCCTGACTGTGTTGTCTGCGGACAGACGGCAGGACAGAGCTGTTCTTTTACTTTTTAGTTAGTTTTTAGCTAGCTGAGGCTAAGAAGTTCCCTGGACTGTTTTTTTTCCTTTTTCTTTGGACCTCTTGAAGCTGCTCTGGACTGAACACCCAGGAGAGCACCGGAGCTCCCATCTCTGCCTGACCAGGCCGGGCCGGGCCTGCGACAATTCCAGCACCGGAGGGACCGATCAGAGACTGAGTGAGCTGAGCTTCCACCCAGGCTTTTCTCAGTTTGTCGTCTCTTTCAGAGTGGCAAGGGGTCTCAATGTTTGGTATTGTGTCAGTTTTACTGTTTAATAAACAGTTTTTTCCCACCTTTCTCCAAGGAGGTATTTTTCCCTCCCGGACCAGCTGGGGGCAGGGCCGATTGAATCTGCTTTTCCCACCGGAGCTCCTTTGGGGGATTCTTCCCCAAATTTGCTCTAAACCTGGACAGTAGTGAGAGAGACGTGAGGAAAAAAAAAAATATAAATTTTAAAGAATGAAGGAGAGCTGAGATTGGAGTATAACCAATCAACTGCTTCGCTTACAGAGTATGTATGAGCTTATTCTCGTTGTAAATAAATGTCTGGTGCTCTCATCGATAAACGGAGCTTGCTGATTCTCACACTGAGCGTCCCACGTTTTCCCTGCGCCGTGACAAACAGGCACTAATGATTCCCATCCACAAAACTCAGTTATTACTTTAACACTTCTTGCAACAAGAGCATAGATTTCGTGAACTGCAATACTAATTACTCGCACAATTCAAGCATTTTACTTATAACCCAGCTAGCATGTCCAGTGTTGGAATGAATCAAAGTTTACTGATGGAAATGGCAATTCCCCTTCTCCCCTGTAAAATTCTCAGGCTAAGGTCAGCATACCAAACCAGTCCTGATCCTTCTATCTGAAGTATTCCTCCTCCAAGGAGATGTTTTATTCAGGCAGTGCTGGAAAACAGTGATATAAGCCTTATTTCTTAATTCAGTGTCATTCTTTGTACATTTCTTGGGTCATTTGGGTTTTCCCAAGCTATTACCACCCAGTCCCCATTGGAAAGTCAGTTCAGTATCACTCGGTTTAAATGTGATAGTCCATTCCTCAGGTTCCTTCACAAGTCCTTCGATTCTGCTGGCATGAATCCACCCTCTTTCCGTGATTCTGATCCTTGCTTCAGTAGTGCCTGGAAAGGACTTCTCAGTAGCATAGTAATAAAAGACAGATAATGCTGCATTAACTTCTACCATTCGCTTTCCTTCCACACTTTCTGGGTTTAGCTAAAAGCTTTCTCCACAGCAGCCTCTTCTTCTGTCCAGCTGTGCTAATGGCAAATTTGTCTTTCTGTCAGTTACAGTTAGTTAAATAAGAAAATCCAGACCAATTTTAACACGAGATGAATCACATCTATTGCTTTTTACTTTTTGGGCAGGATTTAATTGTTTTAGCCTTACATACCCATTCTTCGGGGAGAGAAAGCTTCTTCTTTTTAACAGCAAACAAAAGACACAAAAGAAAAAAAAACAAAAACCTTCTTCCTTATGAAAAACAAACCGCTTTGTGAGGTTTGGAGAGTCGGCAATCTCTGCTTTTTCTTTATTTTTCTTTGATTTTATCTGTCAGGGCCGGCCCCCTGCCCCTCTCTTCACAGCCCTGCTGTCTGTGCCGTCCTTGGCCCTTCCCCCCGGCGCTGCCCCTTGGCTGCAGGGCCGGAGCCGGGGGGAGCAGCCCCGGGCATGGGGGGGACCCTGGGGGCTGCCCTTGGTTCCTTTTTGCTTTTTCTTTCTCTCTTCTCTCCTTTTCTCTCCCCTCCTCTCTCTCGGCCCACTTCCCGGGCCCACGCTGCCATCCTGGACTCGGGACCCTGTTGGGATCGGCGGGAGGAATGCAGCACGCAATGCGAGTGATCAGCAAATCTCGAACTTTATTGATAGGCACGCATCTTTATGTCGGTGTTAATGAGGCTCACACATACTGCAGAGGGGAGCTCACCGTTGGTCAGTAACTTATCGGCCAACGACGCCTACTTCTGCATTCTCGTGGATATTTTATTGAAACTTTTCTTCCTATTCCTGCCGAAGATGCTCTCCCCTATGCTGCTGTTGCACCAAGGGCACAATGTCCTTGCCTGTTATTGGACACTGACTGCTGACTCCTGGACTTCAAGCGTAACCAGCGGCGTTATGTCGACGTGACCTATTGGAATATGAATCCCAGTATCACCAGTTAGATGGTGCCTGGGCCAGTCTGACCCTCGCTGCTGGGCCAAAGGCAGTAAGTGTGGTGGATCACCCCAGAGATACCTTGGCTCGCTGGAGATTGCAGCAGGGCACTGAACAAGTCCAGGCTTGTCAGGAACTCCGTTTACCTCAGGAGGAAAGCTTCAGGCGATGGTGAAGAGAAAAAGAGATGGATTCTGCTGGAGGGTTTTTATCCAGAGGTTTATTCCATGGTTACAGAGGTCTGGACGTGAGCAACTGCTCCAACAGAATGCCGACCGCATGGCTTGATTTACCTTTAAAGCTCAGGGACAGGGGGAGGGGAGGTACAGGTGAGCCACCAACCAGGTGAGAGGGGCGGGGTCTCAGGGGAGGATGACACCCAGACTGGCCAATGACCCCCGGGCCTGGGGGGCATCCTTTGAACTTGACCAACCACACGCTGGAATGTTGAGCCTGATTGACAGGACTCACTCAGCACGGGGGCAAGGGGGAAGGGAGAGAGGTACAGGCACACCTGGGGAAGTGACCTGGAAGTCTAAAATGGGACATTACAGCACACCGCAACAGTGACCTTTCTCAGCTAACCAGCTGTGCACAAAGCTCTGCACGGAACCCCGACAGTCTGGGAGCCCCCCCGGCAGCCCCACCACGGAGCCAGCCCGCTCCTGGCCGGCAAAGCTGTGTCCTGTGCTGCCGGCACCGCCCAGTCACCTCCATGGATCGGTCCCTGCCGCAGCCCCCGAGACCCCGCTGCTCTAGGGAGCGCTCAGACACCTCCCAGCCCTGACAACCCCAAACTTGGCGTCCCCGGGTGCTCCTGACATTCTTTCTCAAGGCAACTTATCCTCTTCTCTCTTCAAGGAGGGCCCGTTCTGCTAAACCCTCTCTGGACCCCAGTGTGGCACTGAATAACCTCCCAACAACCCTGTGACAAGACACTTCCCTGCCTTTCATGCAAAAACTCGCATTCACACTTCTGCTCTCTTCTAGCACCAAGATGCCATCACTTCACATTCCAGCATCTCAGAGTTTGCTAACCACCTCCCTACTTCAACTTCTCTCTTTCTTCTTTTTCATTCAACACACCTCAGACGAGGTGAACCTGACCCATTTCCTTCCAGAAGTAAGCTTACAACTTTCTTTTATTACGATTGCCGTAGCTGTTACAGCTTAAATGCACAGTGGCTAGCTGTGGCTTACTGGGTCTAACATCTCTGATATAGAAGCTACTAGATATTTGTTACTCTTCCTCACTCCTGAATTAAAATTTTATGAGCTACTCCATTTTCTGTATTTTTGTAAAAATAATGAAGGATTTTTCAAACAAGGGTAAGCTTATAGCTGGTACTGAGGCTAGTTTTAAGTCAACTCTTTAACAAAATCTCACTTGGCCCGTTTCATATCATCTCCCTCTGTCAATTTTTCGTACACAAATTTTGCTGCCCGTGTGTACCCCTCAATCCATAATCTATAATTTTTCAATACTCTAGGTAATTTTCTGATCTCCCTCTTTGAAGAGGGAGGCAGAAGGAATAGAATTCTTGCCATTTTCTCATGGTTGGGTTTCCAGCTACCTTTATTTATGAAGTGTCGAAGATATTTTACCTCTCGTTCTACAAATTGCAGTTTCCCTTTCGATACCTGTTGGAGAGTGCAATGCCATATTTCCCGCCCCCACACCAAGCCGCACTCCGATTGGTTGATTCCGCTGATGGACAAACACAAGGCCCAATCGAAAGCGAGCACTGCCCAAACGTGGAAGCGCTGGTGTCCACAGAGTGGGAGTGTCCCACCCCTCTGCGCTGTGATTGGATAGACTCCTGATTGACAGATGAGTGCACCAATAGAAACAAAAGCCCAGAAACAGCGTTTCGATTGGCTTTTCGCTTTGATTGACGCAAACGCAGGCCAATCAGAACAAAGCATCCCTCAAACCCGGAAGAGGCGTGTCCCTCACTGGAATTTTGGGGTCTCCCCATTCCAGATGTTGGGGTCCTGACCCAGAATTCAACGTCCTCATCCAGATGTTGGAGTCTCCACCCAGATTTCGAGGTCCTCATTCCAGATGTTGGGGGTCCCGTCACCCAAATTTTCATGTTCCCATTCCAGATGTTGGGGTACCCCATCACCCTTGACCTTTGGGGGGGTCACAGCCCAGATGCTGAAGTTCTCATCCAGATGTGGGGGTCCCATCACCCCCCAGGGTCTCTCCCCATCCAGATGTTGGGGTCCTGACCCAGATTTCCATGTCTTCATCCAGATGTTGGGGGTCCCATCACTCCACAGGGGTCCCCCATTCCAGATGTTGGGGTCCCCACCCAGATGTTGGGATCCTCATCCAGATGTTTATGTCCCCCATTCCAGATGTTGGGGGGTCCCAACCAGGATTATCCCAAGATTGAGGTCCCCCATCCAGATGTTTGGGTTGTCACCCAGATTTCCAGGTCCCCATCCAGATGTTGGGGTCCCCAATCCAGATGTTGGGGCTCCCGTCATCCACCAGGGTCCCCAATCCAGATGTTGGGAGCCCCTCCCCCCAACCCCACCCTTCCCCCACCCTTCTCTGCCCCGCCCCCCTCCCCTCCCATCCTGGGTGTGGCTACGACCCCTCCTCGGCCCCTCCCCCCAGGAACTCTCCAATCAGCTTGGCCAGGGGGCGGGGCGCCTCCTCGGGCAGCCAATGGGAGGCGCCGGGCAGGAGGCGGAGGCGGGCGGAGGGGCGGAGCCAGCGCAGGTGGGCGGGGCCAAGGCGCGGGTCCAGGAAGGCGTCGCGGGAGCCCCAGAGCAGCAGCGTGGGGGGAGGGGGCGGCTCCCGGGGAATGGGCGTGGCCCTGGAAAGGGGGAGGGGACAGTGAGAGACACCTGGGAACAGGTGAGGGACACCTGGGGACAGTTTGGAGACACAGGGACAGAGTCAGGAACACTTGGGGACAGGGGCAGGGACACCTGGGGACACCTGGGGACAGCTTGGCGACACCTGGGGGACATTGGGACAGGTCGGGGGCACCTTGGGGGACACCTTTGGGACAGGTCAGAGACACCTGGGGACACCTTGGGGACATGGGGGACACTTTGGGGATACCTGGGGACAGGTAAGGGACACCTGGGGGACATGGGGACCACCCAACTCAAGAGAACCCAACCGGGATCCCCCAAACCCAACTGGGAACATCCCAATGGGGTCCCACCGCCCAACTGGGGTCACCCAAGCCAAGTGAACTCAACTGGGAACATCCCAAACCCAACTGGGGTCACCCAACGGGGTCCCACCACCCAACTTGGACCACCCGAACCCAACTGGGATCACTGAAACCCAACTGGGATCATCCCAAACCCAACTGGGACCACCCAATGTGATCCCATCCCCCAAATGGGACTGCCCAATGGGGTCCCACCACCCCACTGGGAACATCCCAAACCCAACTGAGACCACCCAAACCCAACTGGAAGAACCCAATGGAGTCCCACCACCCAACCTGGACAACCCAAACTCAACTGCAAGCACTCAAATCCAAGTGGGAACATCCAAACCCAACTGGAAGCACCCAATGGGGTCCCACCACCCAACTGGGATCATCCCAAACCCAACTGGGATCCTCCAAACCCAACTGGGATCGCCAATGAGGTCTCACCACCCAACTGGGACCACCCAAACCCAACTGGACACAACCCAAACCGAACTGAGAACATCCCAAACCCAACCAGGAGCACCCAGTGGGGTCCCATCACCCAACTGGGAACATCCCAAACCCAACTGGGAACATCCCAAACGCAACTGGGATCACCCCAAACCCAACTGAACCTGAGAACAACCCAAACCCAACTGGGACCACCTAAACCAAACTGGGAACACCCAAACCCAACTGAGAACAACCCAAACCCAACTGGGACCACCCAACCCAACCCAAGGGAATGGAACTGGAAGCACCCAAACCCAACTGGAAGCACCCAAACCCAACTGGAAGAACTCAAACCCAACTGGGATCACCCAATGGGGTCCCACTACCCAACTGGGACCAGCCAAACCCAACTGGGATCATCCTAAACCCAATTGGGAGTCCCCAAACCCAACTGGGAGCATCCAAACCCAACTGGGAGACCACCCAATGTGGTCCCGCCACTCAACTGGGGTCACCCAATGGGGTCCCGCCACCCAACTGGGAACATTCCAATGGGGTCCCACCACCACCAGCACCCAACTGGGACCACCCAAACCCAACTGGGATCCTCCAAACCCAACTGAGACCATCCCAAACCCAACTGGGGTCACCCAATGGGGTCCCACCACCCAACTGGAAGAACCCAAACCCAACTGGGATCACCCAAACCCAACTGGGACCACCAGACGGGGTCCCACCACCCAAGTGGGGTCCCCCAAGGTGGTCCCACCACGCACCCGAAGAGGTTCCGGTAGTAGTGGATGGGGGGGCTGAGCCCCCCGGGCTGGGAGAGGCCGAACAGGAAGGCGTCGAGCTCCTGCTCCGAGAGGCGCCGCGCCGGGTCCTGGATGCCGGTCAGGGCGCTGGTCATGAACCACCGCACCAGCTGGGGGACACCGAAATTGGGGACATCCAAAATTGGGGACATCCAAAACTGGGGACATCCAAAATTGGGGACATCCAAAATTGGGGGCATCCAAAACTGGGGACATCCAAATTTGGGACATCCAAAACTGGGGACATCTAAAATTGGGGACATCCAGAATTGGGGACATCCAAATTGGGGACATCCAAAACTGGGGACATCCAAAACTGGGGACATCCAAAACTGGGGACATCCAAAATTGGGGGCATCCAAAATTGGGGACATCCAAATTTGGGACATCCAAAACTGGGGACATCCAAAATTGGGGACATCCAAAATTGGGGGCATCCAAAATTGGGGACATCCAAATTGGGGACATCCAAAACTGGGGACACCGAAATTGAGGACATCCAAAACTGGGGACATCCAAAACTGGGGACATCCAAATTGGGGACATCCAAAATTGGGGACACCAAAATTGGGGACATCCAAAATTGGGGGCATCCAAAATTGGGGACACCGAAACTGGGGACATCCAAAATTGGGGGCATCCAAAATTGGGGGCATCCAAAATTGGGGACATCCAAAATTGGGGACACCGAAATTGGGGACATCCAAAACTGGGGACATCCAAAATTGGGGGCATCCAAAATTGGGGACACCAAAATTGGGGGGAAAATGGGGAAATCAGGGCTAGGGGGACATTGAACACTGGGGACACCCAAATCGGGGACATCCAAAATTGGAGACATTCAAAACTGGGGACATCCAAAACCGGGGGGAAAATGGGGAAATCAGGGCTGGGGGACACCAAAAATTTGAGACAAAGTGGGGGAAGTCAGGGTTGTGGGGCACTGGGACCCCAAAAATTGGGAACACCCAAAATTGGGGACAAAATGGGGAAAATGGGGGTTTGGAGTGTCAGGATCCCGAAAACCGGGGACAAAATGGGGACAAAAGGGGGGACACCAGGTCGTGGTGACACCAAACCCCTAAAACTGAGGACAAAGTGGGGGAGGGGAGGTCTGGGTGGTGCCACCACCCCTGAAATTGGGGTCCAAGTGGGGGACACCAGGTCTGGGTGACACCAAATCCCCAAAATTGGGGACAGAGAGCGGGACAAACCTTTGGGGATCGGTGTCACACCTTGAGGAGCTCCTTGGGTTGGGAGATGGCAGCGAGGGGACAGGGAGGGGACAGAGGGGACAGAGGGGACAGGGAGGAGATGGAGGTGACAGAGGGGACAGGGAGGGGATGGAGGGGACAATGAGGGGACAGAGGTGACAAGGAGGTGACAGGGGACAGAGGGGACAGGGAGAGGACAGGAAGGGGACAGAGGGGACAGAGAGGTGACAGAGGGGACAGGGGGGACAGGGAGGGGACAGGGAGGTGACAGAGGGGACAGAGGGGACAGGGAGAGGACAGGAAGGGGACCGAGGGGACAGAGAGGGGACAGGAGGGGACAGAGAGGGGACAGGAGGGGACAGTCTGACCTGGAAGTCGGCCAGGGACAGCAGCAACTCGGGCAGCCAGGGCAGCTGGAACAGGAACATGTAACAGGAACGGAGCAGCTGCGACGGGTGACGGGCCGTGAAGGCTGTGACAGGGAGGGGACACCGTGGGGACATCGTGGGGACAGGGCCAGCACGGTGTCACCATGGGGCCACCACAGGGACAGGGACAGGGACACCATAGGGACACCATGGGGACATCGTGGAGACAGGGACAGGGATCCCATGAAGCCCAATATCCCCAGTGTCCCCAACATCGCCCAACGACCCCAATCCCCCCACTGCCCCCAATCCCCTCAGTGTCCCCATTGTCCCCAACATCCCCCAACGTCCCCGATATCCCCAAGCATCCCCAATGTCCCCAACGTCCCCAAGTGTCCCCCAACGCCCCCTAACGTCCCCAATCCCCCCAATTCCCCAATGTCCCCAGAGTCCCCAATATCCCCAGTGTCCCCATTAATGTCCCCAATCCCCTCAATGTCTCCAGTATCCCCTCATGTCCCCAATGACCCCAGTCCCCAAGATCCCCAATGTCCCCAGTGTCCCCACCACTGTCCCTGCTGTCCCCAATGTCCCCAACACCCCCACTGTCCCCAATGTCCCCTGCTGTCCCCAATACCCCCAATATCCCAAATAACCCCAATGTCCCCAAATCCCCCCCAATGTCCCCGCTGTCCCCAATGTTCTGTGTCCCTAGTGTCCCCAATCCTCCCAATGTCCCCAATGTCCACAGTGTCTCCAATATCCCAATATCCCAGTGTCCCCAATGTCCCCAAAACCCCCAATATCCCCAATATCCCCAATGTCCCCAATGTCCTCTCATGTTCCCAATGCCCCCAGTGTCCCTGGTGTCCCTGGTGTCCGCAATATCCCCAATGTCCCCAATGTCCCCACTGTCCCCTATGTCCCCAATATCCCCTCATGTCCCCAGTGTCCCCAATGTCCCCAACATCCGCAACATCCTCCACTGTCCCCACTGTCCCCACTGTCTCCAATGTCCTCAATGTCCCCACTGTCCCCAACACCCCCTCGTGTCCCCCCTGTCCCCTCTGTCACCTGCCATCACCGCCCTGTGGGGCGCGTCCATCACCACCAGCTTCTCCACCAGCCGCGGGTGCCTCGATGCCACCTCCCTGTGTGTCCCCAATGTCCCCTCATGTCCCCAATGTCCCAACATCCCCAATGTCCCCAATGTCCCCAGTGTGTCCAGTGTCCACAATGTCCCCAAAGTCCCGAATGCCCCCAATGTCCCCAACATCCCCAATGTCCCCAATCCCCCCAATGTGCCCAATGTCCCCAAATGTGCCCAGTGTCCCAACATCCCCAATGTCCCCAGTGTGTCCAGTATCCCCAATGTCCCCAATCCCCCCAATGTCCCCAATCCCCCCAATATCCCCTTGTGTCCCCAATGCCTCCAATGTCCCCAACATCTCCAATGTCCCCATTATCCCAAATGTCCCTACTCCTCTCAATGCTCCCAATGTCCCCAACACCCCCTCGTGTCCCCGCTGTCCCCTGTCTCTGTCACCTGCCATCACCGCCCTGTGGGGCGCGTCCATCACCACCAGCTTCTCCACCAACCGCGGGTGCCTCGATGCCACCTCCCAGGCCAGGACGCCGCCCCAGTCGTGTCCCACCAGGACGCAGCGCGGGGACGCCGCCGGCGTCCCCAGGGCCTCGATGACGTCGCGGACGTCCCCGAGCAGCAGCTCCAGCCGGTAGCTGTCCCTGCCCGGCGGCTTCTCCGAGTCCCCGTAACCGCGCAGGTCCGGGGCCACCACCCGGAACCGCGCGCTGAACTCCCGCAGGAGGTGGCGCCAGCAGAACCTGGGGACAGCGTGGGGACAGCTGGGGACACCTTGGGGACACCTGGGGACACCCGGGGACAGCGGCGACACCGGGGGGATGGCGGTGCGGGGGTGTGGGGACAGCTGGGGACACTTGAGGGACCCCTGGGGACACCTGGGGACACCTTGGGGACAAGAGCAGGGGGGGTATGGGGACAGCTGGGGACACTTGAGGGACCCCTGGGGACACGTGAGGAACACCTGGGGACAGCTGGGGACAGCTGGGGACACCCAGGGACAGCGGCGACACCGGGGGGATGGCGGTGGGGGGGTGTGGGGACAGCTGGGGACACTTGAGGGACCCTTGGGGACACCTGGGGACACCTTGGGGACACGGGGACAGTGGTGGCAATGTGGGGACAGGAGGAGGGAGGTGACCTGGGGACACCTGGGGACAACTGGGAGACATCTGGAAACAAGAGCAGAGGGGACATGAGGGACACCTTGGAGACACCTGAGGGTACCTGGGGACACCTGGGGGACACTTGATGACACTTGGGGACATCAAGGGGACATCTGGGGACACTTGAGGCACCATTGGGGACAACTGGGGGACACCTGGGGGACATGGGGACAGGAGCATGGGGGACATGGGGACAATTGGGGACACCTGGGGACACTTGGTGACATTTGGGGACAGCTGGGGACACTTGGAAGATACCTGGGAGACACCTGAAGGACATCTGGTGACACTCGGGGACACCTGGGGACACTTGGGGGGGGGACCCTTGGTGGCCCTTGGGAGACCCAGGTGTCACCTTGAGGACACTTGGGGGACATTTGGTGACCCTTGGGGACCCGTGGTGACATCTGGTGGCACTGACCAGTTCTGGGGGAAGCCGTGGAGCAGCAGCATCAGGGGGGCATCAGGGGGACCCCGAGTGACGTAATGGAGACGCAGCCCCGAGCTCTGGGGACATTGGCGACATTGGGGTGACATTGGGGGGGGGGGTCACAAAGGGGACAGGGACATTGTGGGGACACCCCCAAATCAGCCCCGCCCCCTAAAATTCCCCAAAATTCCCCCCAAAATCCACCAAAAATCCACTAAAATGGCCCTAAAATGCCCCAAATGCCCCTAAAAATACCCAAAACCATCCCAAATCACCCCAGGACCCCCCAAAATCCCCCAAATCCCCCCCCCGATCCCCCAAATTTCTCCCAAAACCTCCTCGAACCCCCCCCCAGGACCCCCGAAAATCACCCTAAATTCCTCAAAAAATCCCCCAAATCCTCTCAATGCCCCCCAAAAATCCTCCCCCAACCCCCCCGGACCCACCAAAACCCCCCGTGACCCCCAAAATCCCCCCCAATGCCCCTAAAATGCCCCAAATTCCCCCTAAGTCCCCCCAGGATGTCCCAAAACCTCCTCGGACCCCCAAATCCCCCTTAAAATCCTCTCAAATCGCCCCAGGACCCCCCTAAAGCCCCTCAGGACCTCCCAAAACCTCCAAAATGCCCCGCAACCCCCCCCCGCAAAAATCCTCCCCAAATTCCTCAAAAATCCCCCTAAAATCCCCCAAAACCACCAAAAATCCCAAAAAATCCCCCCAAAATCCCCAAAATCCCCCTAACTCCCCCAGGAACACCCCAAATCCCCCCAGGACCTCCCAAAGCCCTTCCAGAACCTCCTTAAATCCCCTCAAAATGCCTCTTAAACCCCCAAACAATCCCCAAAAAATCCCCAAAATCCTCCCCAAAAAATCCCCCCCCAGCCAGGACCCCCCAAATCCCCCCAGGACCCCCCAGAATCGCCCCTAAATTCCCCCGAAAACCCCCTCAAAACCCCCAACCCCCCCCCCCCCAAGCCCCCTCAAACCCCTCCAAGACCCCCCAAAACCTCTCCAACCGCCCCCAGGACCCTCCAAAATCCCCCAAAAAAATCCCCAAAAAAACCCCCCTAAAATCCCCAAAAAAATCCCCAAAACCCCCCAGCACGCCCAAATCCCCCCCCCAAATCCCCCCAAATGCTCCAAATATGCCCCCAAATCCCCCAGAACCCCTGAAATTTCCCAAAATGCCCCCCAAATCCAGCCAGAATCCCCCCAAAATGCCCCTAAAATGCCCCTAAGATCCCCAAAAACATATCCAAAAAATCCCCCAAAATGCCCCCAAAATCCCCCCAGGACCCTCCAAAATCCCCCTCCCCCATCCCCAGGACCCCCCCCAAAATAAAAAAAAAAAATCGCCAAAAATCCCCCCAAAACTCCGCAAAATCCCAAAAAACTCCCCCCAAAAATCCCCCAAAAATGCCCCAAAAATTCCCCCAGAATCCCCAAACCCGCCGGTACCGGGAGCCGCAGGTGCCGGTGCTCCCCGCAGGTGCCGTCCCGCAGCCCGGGCGGGGCGCTGTCCCTCCGGTGCCACCCGAACGTCGCGCGGGGCCCGCGGCGCAGCAGCAGCGCCACCGCCCAGAGGACAAAGGCCACCCCCGAGGCCACCGCGGCCACCGCGAGGCCACCGCGGGCCAGCAGCGACCGCAGCGACAGCAGGAACCGCGTGGGGGCCAGGAGCAGCGACAGCAGGCGGCGCGGCATGGGGACACCTGGGGACATGGGGACAGCTGGGCATGGGGACACAGGGACAGGGACATGGGGACAGCAGGAACCGCGTGGGGGCCAGGAGCAGCGACAGCAGGCGGCGCGGCATGGGGACACCTGGGGACATGGGGACAGCTGGGCATGGGGACACAGGGACAGGGACATGGGGACAGCAGGAACCGCGTGGGGGCCAGGAGCAGCGACAGCAGGCGGCGCGGCATGGGGACACCTGGGGACATGGGGACAGCTGGGCATGGGGACACAGGGACAGGGACATGGGGACAGCAGGAACCGCGTGGGGGCCAGGAGCAGCGACAGCAGGCGGCGCGGCATGGGGACACCTGGGGGACATGGGGACAGTGGGACACCTGGGGACAGAGGGACAGGGACACGGGGACAGCTGGGGACAGCAGGAACTGAGTGGGGGCCAGGAGCAGCGACAGCAGGCGGCGCGGCATGGGGACAGTGGGACACCTGGGGGGACATGGGGACAGAGGGACACAGGGACATGGGGACACTTGGACATGGGGACGGCTGGGGGGACATGGGGACAGAGGGACATGGGGACACCTGGGGACAGAGGCCACCCCCGACGCCACCGTGGCCACCGCGAGGCCACCGCGGGCCAGCAGAGCCCGTAGGGACAGCAGGAACCGCGTGGGGGCCAGGAGCAGCGACAGCAGGCGGCGCGGCATGGGGACACCTGGGGGACATGGGGACACAGGGACAGGGACATGGGGACAGAGGGACATGGGGACACAGGGACACCTGGGGGACATGGGGACAGCTGGGGGGACATGGGGACAGGGACATGGGGACAGCAGGAACCGAGTGGGGGCCAGGAGGAGGGACAGCAGGCGGCGCGGCATGGGGACACCTGAGGGGACATGGGGACAGCTGGGCATGGGGACAGAGGGACAGGGACATGGGGACATGGGGACAGAGGGACATGGGGACACCCGGGGACACCTGAGGACAGAGGGACATGGGGATATCGACACAGGGACAGCAGGTGGCGCGGCGTGGGGACACCTGGGGGGACAGTGGGACAGCTGGGGACACAGAGACAGGGACATGGGGGACAACGGGGGACACCTGGGTGTCCCATCCCCAAGGTGTCCCCTATGGCAGGGTGGCCTCGTCACCAATGTCCCATGTCCCCGTGGTGTCCCAAACGCAGGGTGGGCCTGTCCCCAGGGTGTCCCCTCAGTGTCTCCATTGTCCCCCACAGCCACACAGTGTCCCCACCTTGTCCCCCAGTCTCCACCCCCAAAGCCCCTCAGTGTCCTCAACGTCCTGTCAGTGTCCCCACTGTCCCCATCTTGTCCCCACAGTATCCCCACATTGTCCCCACTGTCCCCCAAGCCCCCCTCGTCACCCATTGTCCCCACAATCTCTGCAGTGCCCTTATCTTGTCCCCACTTTGTCCCCAAGGACCCTGCAGTGTCCCCATTGTCCCCACTGTCCCCACATCCCTACAGTGTCCCCACTGTCCCCAAAGTGTCGCGGAAGCCCCTCAGTGTCCCCACCTTCTCCTCACCTTGTCCCCGCATTGTCCCCATTGTCCCCTCAGTGTCCCCATTATCCCCCACAACCCCTGGAGTGTCCCCGCATTGTTCACCATTGTCCCCAAAGCTCCCAGAGTGTCCCCATTGTCCAAACATTGTCCCCCACTGTCCCCACCTTGTTCCCCATTGTCCCTCAGTGTCCCCATTATCCCCCACATCTCCCGCAGTGTCCCCAAAGCCCCCAGAGTGTCCCCAAACTGTCCCCGAATCCCCCAGAGTGTCCCCAAATTGTCCTCAAAGCCTCTCAGTGTTCCCCATGGTCCCTGAAGCCCCCTCAGCGTCCCCATTGTCCCCACCTTGTCCCCACGGCCCCTGCAGTGTCCCCCATTGTCCCCAAAGCCCCCACAGTGTCCCCATTGTCCCCATCTTGTCCCCATTGTCCCCAAATCCCCCGGAGTGTCCCCAAAGCCCCCTCAGTGTCACCACATTGTCCTCGCCTTGTCTCCCCATTGTCCCCTCAGTGTCCCCACTGTCCCCTCAGTGTCCCCACAGCCCCTGCAGCGTCCCCAAAGTCCCCTCAGTGTCCCCACCTTGTCCTCAAAGCCCCCAGAGTGTCCCCACTGTCCCCTCAGTGTCCCCACAGCCCCTGCAGCGTCCCCAAAGTCCCCTCAGTGTCCCCACCTTGTCCCCAAAGCCCCCAGAGTGTCCCCACTGTCCCCTCAGTGTCCTCATTGTCCCCTCAGTGTCCCCACAGCCCCTGCAGCGTCCCCAAAGCCCCCAGAGTGTCCCCACTGTCCCCTCAGTGTCCCCATTGTCCCCTCAGTGTCCCCACAGCCCCTGCAGCGTCCCCAAAGCCCCCTCAGTGTCCCCACCTTGTCCCCAAAGCCCCCAGAGTGTCCCCACTGTCCCCACCTTGTCCCCACGGCCTCCTTGGTGCCGCTCCCGGGATGTGCCACCGCCTGTTGTGCCACCAGCTGTCCCAATTCCCGGGTGGCACCGCCCGGATGTCACCATTGTCTGGATGCCACCACCCCCGGGGTGTCACCATTCCTTGGATGTCACCACCCCCAGGGTGTCGGCACCGTCTGGGTGTCACTGTCACCTGGGTGTCACCACTGTCCCAGTGCCACCACCCCCAGGGTGGCACTGTCAGGGTGTCACCACCCCCTGGGTGTCACCATCCCCAGGATGTCCCCGTCCCAGGGTGGCACTGTCAGGGGTGTCACCATCCCCAGAATGCCCCCGTTCCTTGGATGTCACCACGCCTGGGTGGCACCATTGTCTGGGTGTCACCACCCCCAGGGTGGCACCGTCTGGGTGGCTCTGTCAGGGATGTCACCACCCCCAGGGTGTCACCATTGCCTGGGTGTCCCCATTCCTTGGATGTCACCACCCCCAGGATGTCGGCACTGCCAGGGTTGTCACCACATTGAGGATGTCGCTGTCCCCTCGGTGTCACCGCTGTCCGGGTGTCCCCATCCCCAGAATGTTCCTTGGATGTCACCGTCCCCTGGGTGTCACCATTGTCTGGGTGTCACCAACCCCAGGGTGGCACTGTCAGGGGTGTCACTACCCCAAGTGTCACCATCCCCTGGGTGTCACCACCCCTGGGTGTCACCATTGTCTGGGTGTCACCAACCCCCAGGGTGGCACCGTCTGGGTGGCACTGTCAGGGATGTCACCATCCCCAGGGTGTCACCACTCTCTGTCACCATTGTCCAGGTGCCACCACCCCCAGGGTGGCACTGTCAGGGTGTCACTACCCCGAGTGTCACTGTCGCCTGGGTGTCACCACCCCCAGGATGTCACTGTCCCCTGGGTGTCACCATTGCCACGGTGGCACTGTCCCCTGGG